AAAAAAACCCTCCAGGCCAATTACCAATTCTTTCGGATGTCATTATGCTTGTGAAAATTAGATAAAATTAGATAAGACAAAAATTATAAAATAAAAACTCATTATAAAATCATTTTTTGTAAGAAATTGTTTAACAACAAGTATTTCTGATTTTTTCCAAGTCAATTACCAATTCCTTTATGCTTATGAAAATTGGATAAAATTAGATAAGACAAAAATTATAAGATCAAAACTCATTATAAAATCATTTTTTTGTAAGATATTTTAATGGCAAGTGTTTCTGATTTTTTTGTCTTATCTAATTATTAAAATACCCTTAACCTTATAACTTAGAATCCATGGTATATAAGGATATTTTTGTCTACTAAAACCCGGTATACATTGCTAAAATGTACCAACTGAAAAACAGGCGTACGCGCATTAGCAAACCCCACATATATATATATATATATATATATATATATATATATAGATAGATAGATAGATAGATAGATAGATATAGGTTTTTCTGGTATTTATTTTCCTTCAAAATAATAATATAAATAATATTCCTCTAAAATATGTTTAGTGTGTTTAAATAATTTTTAATTTCAAAAAAAGTTTAACATTTTTTTTTCACAAAACAACTTCAATAAAATATTAAACACATGCAGGGAACAACACATTTTTACCTTTATAATGACTTAATTTAGATTTGAAAAAAAGTTTAACAGATTTTCATAAACAACTTCGATAAAATGTTAAACCCATACAGCATAAGAATCGTCATCTCACAGGTACTTCTTTTTATTGATTTGTTTTAATATTTTTAAAGATACACGATTTTGAAAATAAAATTTTTTCCTTATTTTAGAAAAACATTTGATGACATGAAGACCAAGTATCTTTTTATTTTTTGGTCAAATGTGGTCCAAGTTCATGTTTGTTCCTAACTACTTGCGTGGTAAATGAAAAATAAAAAAAAGCTTTTCCCCCAAAAATGAGTATAAAAAGAACATGAAAAAGGCATGACATTGATGGAATGTAGCACTTGCACAGTTCACAAACAGACATGAAAGATCCTATCTCAATGATCCGTACATCCCACTAACTTAACTTTCAACTGTTTATAATTTTCATTCTTCTTTCTCATTCTCATCTCTCTACCTATCATCTACCATTCTTCCATTACATTTTCCTTTATTATTATTATTCAAAATCATTTTATTCTCATTCCAGAACCAACCCAACTAATTAATCTGCTGTGTCAGTTCATCATCATTCTCAACTTTTTCATTTTTAAACATTTTTTCTTCTATTAAATATGAGAAAAATAATTCTACTTTATGTAATATTTATCACCGTTTCTTTCCCTAGTTAGACTACATTCCCAGACCATGTGCCAAAAGTTATCAACAACATTATTAGGAACAAGTTATCACATTCTGCTAAGAGTATCAGCTCTTCCAAATTTAAAAACTAAACCCAACTGAAAAAACCGCATTTTTAAACATTCCTCTTTTTTTATCTTTCCTATAACAATTTCCTGAACTTCTTTTTTATATAATTTAACTCTTTCCAAAGTTTGGATAAGACTTTGAAATGCTATTCTATGAGACTTTCCTGACTTGGAATGCCGATCAAAGGTTGGGTCAGAACAGTGATTCACTTGATGACGAATGTTATATTAAAAATAACAAAAATAAAAACAACACTGAAAACAGATAAAACAATTTTACACGACAGGATAGTTGAAAGGGTATAACAAAAGTTCATATGGGATTAATTAACTATCGCTGTGACTTACTATGACTCAATTACAAAATAATTTTTTATATTGATTCATTGAATAAATGAATTGAAAAAGTCTTAACCTGCAAAGTTTTCATATAAATGGAGTAAGATTAAAATTAAAGTAAATTTGACTTATAATAAGATTTTAATTCATTTTTAAATATGTTTTAAAACTGTACGAACTTTAAAATGTTTTGAATAATAAATAAATTTGTAAATATTTTATAATAATTTTAAATCAGTCTTTCATTATATTTTATTATTTTCAACTTAATTAAACAATTAAAACTCAATTTCATATATATATATATATATATATATATATATATATATNTAATAAAATGTCTGCTGTATTTTTATATACAAATTAACAATTAAAATGACTTTGCGGTTTGGTGGTTGTGGAAAAATAAAAGCCAATAGTTGAAATACCTTAAACACTTTTAGAAGTTTTTTTAAGGGATTAAATGCAAATTAGAATTAAAATGTGCTTAATTTTAAAATTTAAATTTTTATTTCCCTGTAGTTTTTTTAAAATCCACCAAGTCACATACTAATATCATTTATTTATGAGAATCAGTGTCACAGGACCGCACAAAATGAAAACTAACAGACTTCCTCAATTGACCTAACCACCACGCCAACCTGTCAGGTTTAATATTTTAATTTAAATCAAATTTTCTAAAAAAATATTTTTACATACTTTGTGAAAATTTTAAAGTTAGTCAAAATTTAAAATTTAAACTTTGATTTTGTGAATCGACTTGATTAATCACTAAAATTTTAATAATTGATGCAATTATAATAAACAGCTCTAGAAATTATTTTGTCGCTTTATTAATTTTAGAAAATAATTTTTTAATATTCTTATTTTATCCTGAGTAACAGACAAGGACCAAGAAAGACTGGTAGTTCAAAATGATCCAATGGTTCATAATTTTTAACCACTATTTATTAATTATTCTGCTGTAAAATGAAAGGTGGAGATCGTGTACACTTTTATGGATGCTGTAGACGACCCTGCCTTTGCCAGTGTGGCAATTTGTGATTTGTCGCCTTTTTCTGTGTCTTCCTCTCTGTTTTCTTCTCTGAGTCTCATTTTAACTTCAATTTGGAAAGCCACGCTTCGCAATTTGCAACTCGAAATCGTCGATTCATTCTGTAAGTTCTGCAGATTAGACTCATTCTTCACTTCTCCTCATTTGTGTAGTTTTCGTTACGCAATCGCCCAAGCTCTTGTTAATTTTCTCAGTTACACTTTACTGCGAATAGGGCTCAAGTGAGTTAGTTATACACAACAACACTGTTTTTTTTTTTTTTAACATTTAAAAGGAATTAGGGATATAAATTTGCATTTATTATTTGTATAATTTGCGGATATGGCTTCTCTTTTTGTTTGAGAAATGTTTTTATGTCCTTTTGTTGTTATTAGTTTTTGACGGTAAATGGTAAACAGACGAATTGAGCTATCATATCTCTTAAAATTGTAATTGAACTGCAGGTGGTATAGTTTATGTGATAGTTTTTATTTATTTATTTCTTACCTGATACTGTAGGGAAGTGCCTGTCTGCTTCTGCTGAAAATATATATAGGACATTGGTCTACTTTGTGAACTGTGGTGGAGGGATTGAAGTACAGTTATAGGTAGAGGATGGCATGTAGGGGATGCTGGGAGTGCCTTTTGAAGCTTTTGAACTTCATATTGAGCCTCACTGGTCTTGCCATAGTGGGCTATGGAATCTATCTTTTTGTTCTATTCTCTAAAGCTTCAGATGGCGAAAATCTGACGACTTCTCCTGTCAGTGATGATTCTGCTCTGATTCAACTTGGCCGACCCTTGCTTATGACTGTCTCTCTTGGCAACAGTTTTTTTGATAACCTCTCCAGTGCTTGGTATGAGTTCTGCTCTCTTGCCACTTTTTGATTTTGGGGCATTTCCAACTATGTTGATTCTTGACTTGCTAAAGGTTTTACTTTTGGTTGTATTATGGCTGCATCAATTTGTTATCTGTTATCTAGTTTCCGTAGGTTATATCAATACTGAAAAAGCTTTTTCCCCCGTCTTGGTGGAAATTTACTTTAATGGCTCGTAACAATGTAGTATTGAGTATTGCATGAAATACATAGTCATGTTAAGAAACAATTCTGCGTTGCTTTAAAAAAACTATGGGTCGAATGCATTCAGTACTTTACGATGAAGATAATAGCGTTTTGGAGCTAGAATCAACCTCATAATTATATTCTTGTGTACAGCCTCTAGTTTTAGGTTTGTGCTGCTATATATTGTTATGTTTGATTTTGGTCATGTTTAGTGAGATTTGCAAGGTGGAACTTTTGGAATGTTAGGTCAATCAAATACGGAGTTGTGGTTATGAAATAATTAGAGTTTAAGAAGGTAAAATTTAAGGCTAAGCATCTTCATTTGTTGGTGTGATTGATCCACCATGGATTATTCTTGCCATTGATTAAGAAAGAAACTTTGATCAACCTACTTTGTGAACTTTCCAGAATGGCCGGCAAAATGTGAATTTGAATTAACATTTATTTTTCAGGTGTAGTGTTTCTTTTTACTCACTAATTGTTTTTGTTCGAAAAGAAGAAAATCAGCCATAGAATATATACCACATATAGTATTTGTCCATTGTTTTTCTTCAACCATTATTATTATTATATGTTTATTTATAGAGCTTTGTGATCCCAATGCTTTACTTTTTATTCATTCTGAAGTCATGACTGATGTTACAGTTATATATGAAACTGTCCCATTTTAAACTTATAGTACAGTTAGTACACGCACACAACAGAATTACTTTTGAAGTTGACAAACACGAATCTCACTCTAATTCTTCATTTCATGTTTGCCAGGTTTATTTTTGTATTTATTGGTACTGGAGTAGTTCTCTTTCTCATTTCTTGTTTTGGTTGTATTGGAGCTGCAACACGGAATGGATGCTGCCTGAGCTGTGTATCCTTTTACAGTGTCTCATGCTATATTATAAAAATATTCCATGCTCTCTTAAATTTCCGGTCATACAAAGAAAACATTAATTTAAGTTTCTGCTCTTCTCTCCCGGTGTATATGTACGGTTACATGGATTGATCTGTGCTTATTTAAGGATCTGTTATTGAGTTTCTTAAGTCAACACAGTATTCAATTCTGGTGGTATTATTGATCTTGGTAGAGCTGGGATGTGCAGCCTTTATATTCTTCGACAAAAGCTGGAAAGAAGTAAGTAAATAGTCTGGTAATTTGTGACAGATGTTAAAATTGTATTTGTCATTTATAATTATATTTCATTCAGGAAATTCCAACAGACAAAACTGGAGATTTTGATGCGATATATGAATTTCTGAGTGAGAATTGGAATATTGTGAGATGGGTTGCTCTTGGAATTGTTATCTTTGAGGTAAGCAAGAAGTTGTATGATTGGCATTTGAAAGAAAGCCGTATTATTTTGCAGTCTTTTTTCTTTATGCCTGTACCCACGGGAGGCAGATAATTGTTTCTAGGATTCCAAGCCATCCATTTTATACAGGATTTTATTTAGATTGGGCCCATAATCAATGGAGAATAATTTAACTCTTGATGAAGATGCTGAATGTGAGATGTTGAATATGATCCATCATGTAAAGCCCATTTGATGAATCAAATTCAGCATCTCACGTTATATTTTATGATGAAATTTCAAGAAAAATGTAGAAAAAGAAAAGTTTAAAAAACGGAATGAAATCTAGAAATGGAGATCAATGTTGTTATCCATAGTGATCGATTAGTTGAGGAAAACTCATCCCTTGGAATTAGAAAATTCAAAGATAAGAATTAAGTGGTGTTCTTAAAACGACAGAGAATTTTTCTCACAGTTGTAAAACTTTGTTCACAAATGAGTTAAAAACTTCTTACACGAGTCAACAATTGACGACTTATGTTATGAACTTAAGACTACTAGGTTCATCTAACTAAATAGTCTATGGTCCAACAAGCTATCTAATAAGTCAGCTAACAAATTTGTAAATCATATAAAGGCCTAATTATACAAACATAAAAATAATTACAAAAAGCCCAACAACAAACCTATAAAATATTGCCTATATTCCTGAAGAGTTGGCTCTAAGTTAGCTGAAGCCTCCTTCCTCTTCCTTTGAGGCTTCCTAGTTCTCTGTAAAGTTATTTTTTAAACAGTGTGCCTGTGAGAAACCATACATTGTTTGTATAGATATATAATATTAGTTTTACTTTCCAAATGTACTTGAGTACCTGATTGAATATCTTATCGAATCCCCATTTACATACCACTAGAAGGAAAGGGAGGGGTCCATAGTAATGAAAGCTTTATACATGTGTGTGGGGCAATGTGCCCGTTGTTAATGTTTGCGCGACAGAAAGTTGGGTAGGAATTTTGTGTTATCTAAAGGAATGTGTATGAAATTGCAGGCTCTACTTTTCTTGTTAGCCCTTATTGTTAGGGCTGTAAATAAGCCAGCAAATTATGATAGTGATGAGGAGTTCACTAATCCGAGGCAGCCATTGCTCAACAGACCAGCACCAGCCCCAGTAACAGGGTTACCAGTTGCTGGGACTATTGACCAGCGTCCAAGCAGAAATGATGCATGGAGCACACGGATGCGGGAGAAGGTGCAATCTTTATCTCTGACTTTGACTTTATCTAATACATACATTCATACATATATATCTATCGCTATATATATATATATATATAGATAGATAGATAGATAGATAGATAGATATAGGTTTTTCTGGTATTTATTTTCCTTCAAAATAATAATATAAATAATATTCCTCTAAAATATGTTTAGTGTGTTTAAATAATTTTTAATTTCAAAAAAAGTTTAACATTTTTTTTTCACAAAACAACTTCAATAAAATATTAAACACATGCAGGGAACAACACATTTTTACCTTTATAATGACTTAATTTAGATTTGAAAAAAAGTTTAACAGATTTTCATAAACAACTTCGATAAAATGTTAAACCCATACAGCATAAGAATCGTCATCTCACAGGTACTTCTTTTTATTGATTTGTTTTAATATTTTTAAAGATACACGATTTTGAACATAAAATTTTTTCCTTATTTTAGAAAAACATTTGATGACATGAAGACCAAGTATCTTTTTATTTTTTGGTCAAATGTGGTCCAAGTTCATGTTTGTTCCTAACTACTTGCGTGGTAAATGAAAAATAAAAAAAAGCTTTTCCCCCAAAAATGAGTATAAAAAGAACATGAAAAAGGCATGACATTGATGGAATGTAGCACTTGCACAGTTCACAAACAGACATGAAAGATCCTATCTCAATGATCCGTACATCCCACTAACTTAACTTTCAACTGTTTATAATTTTCATTCTTCTTTCTCATTCTCATCTCTCTACCTATCATCTACCATTCTTCCATTACATTTTCCTTTATTATTATTATTCAAAATCATTTTATTCTCATTCCAGAACCAACCCAACTAATTAATCTGCTGTGTCAGTTCATCATCATTCTCAACTTTTTCATTTTTAAACATTTTTTCTTCTATTAAATATGAGAAAAATAATTCTACTTTATGTAATATTTATCACCGTTTCTTTCCCTAGTTAGACTACATTCCCAGACCATGTGCCAAAAGTTATCAACAACATTATTAGGAACAAGTTATCACATTCTGCTAAGAGTATCAGCTCTTCCAAATTTAAAAACTAAACCCAACTGAAAAAACCGCATTTTTAAACATTCCTCTTTTTTTATCTTTCCTATAACAATTTCCTGAACTTCTTTTTTATATAATTTAACTCTTTCCAAAGTTTGGATAAGACTTTGAAATGCTATTCTATGAGACTTTCCTGACTTGGAATGCCGATCAAAGGTTGGGTCAGAACAGTGATTCACTTGATGACGAATGTTATATTAAAAATAACAAAAATAAAAACAACACTGAAAACAGATAAAACAATTTTACACGACAGGATAGTTGAAAGGGTATAACAAAAGTTCATATGGGATTAATTAACTATCGCTGTGACTTACTATGACTCAATTACAAAATAATTTTTTATATTGATTCATTGAATAAATGAATTGAAAAAGTCTTAACCTGCAAAGTTTTCATATAAATGGAGTAAGATTAAAATTAAAGTAAATTTGACTTATAATAAGATTTTAATTCATTTTTAAATATGTTTTAAAACTGTACGAACTTTAAAATGTTTTGAATAATAAATAAATTTGTAAATATTTTATAATAATTTTAAATCAGTCTTTCATTATATTTTATTATTTTCAACTTAATTAAACAATTAAAACTCAATTTCATATATATATATATATATATATATATATATATATATATATATATATATATATGATTGGACTTATCTAAGTCAACTTGAGTTTGGTGTAGTTTGACATTTTTATGAATCCAATTTTGGTTGACCTCGTCTAAATTGATTTAACATGGTTTTATCTTAATTAGGTCTAACATGAGTATGATTAGACTTGACTTGATGTTTACCTTGTTGGGACTAAGTTTTAACTTATAACTAATTATACTTAACTAAATTTTGAACACAACTTGACTAATGTGGTTATGACATGACTTGATTAATGTCGTTATGACCCGATTTGACTTGAATAAACATAACATGAAGATGACTAGACTCCTTTCGACTAAGATCTAACTTGATTTCACCGATGTGGGTTCAACTCGACTAGGCTAAAGGTGGGTTCAACTTTATTCAAACTAATATGGGTTTGATTGAACTCAATTAGAGATTGGCTCAACTCGACGTGGTCTAATGTGAGCTCAACATGGGTCTCACTTGACTCGATCTAACGTGGATCTTAACACTATTATGCCTAACATGGACACAACCTATACTAAGTCTTACGTGGGTCTAGCTTGACTTGACCCAACCAAGGTCTAACATGACCCAGTCTCATATAGATCCAACTTAAATCAACCTAAGGTGAACCTCACTCAATTTAGTCATAGGTGAGCATCACTTAACTTAACCCAATATTAGCTTAACTCTATTCAATCTGAAGTGGGCAGAAATAAACTTACTCCATGTGGACCTAACTCGATTCAGTTCGAGTTAGACCTTACTTGACTTGACATAATATGGATCCAATATGGAATTGACTTTACTTCTACTAACATGACTTAACCAAACATGAACTTGTCTTGACTAAGATAGATATTGACTAAACTTTACTTAGCTAAATGTGACTCTTACTCGATTCAATCTAATGTACGTTCGACTCCACTAAGATATAGATATACCCAACTCAATTAGATTTAAGGTGTGTCTTGCTTGACTCAACCTTACATGAGAAACTATTATATTTTTGTTTATTTCTTTATTTATTTAACTATAATCTCATTTCTTTGAGATATTGTATATATTTTATAATCTTTGGTCCATATATCCATGAGTCATAGTTATGTTTTAATATATAAATCAACTTAGTAGTTGATGTTTATATATTATCAATTATAGTTAATTATATAGTTTTTATATATCGTATTTCTACTCTATTTTAATATTTTTTATTTTTTTTCAAATAAAATATTTAACTCTCTATTTTAAATGTTCAATCATATAAATTTTTCTCTTTCATTCTTAATTTGTTTAATTTGAATAACTTTTGTTTTGATAAAATAAATTTTATTATGTTTAGATTAAACTGGTCTGAGGGTAGGTCTTCCTTATTTGCTCTGTCTTTTACATGATAAGGTAAAGATGACTTGATTTATCATAATAAAATAGGGACCTCTTTTTATGAAACATATATGACTTGAGTGTCGGAGTGTCTTCTGCAGGTCGACAACTCGGAGAGGATTGAACGATCAAAAGAGCACAGAGCAAAGAAGGAAGACCTACTCTCGGACCAATTTAACCGAAACATTTTGGTTTGACTAGTTTGATATATAATTTTTTTTCTTAGATATCTAAGATACTTTTTATCTTGTCACGTACTTAATTATACATTTATTTTTCTTTATGTATTTTATTTATTTTTCTTTATGTATTTTTGTTATATACCAAATTGTTTTTTAAACATTTTTTTGTATTTTTTTTTGTTATTTATTTTTATCACGTAGAATAATGTTTTGATAATTTTTTGTATGAATATTTTTATTTTTTAACTTATAATAATAAGTGTAATTTAATTACCATAATTATATAAATATATTTTATATATTATAATATAATAACTTAATTTTATTGTCATAAATTTTGTTTTTCACCATTCAACGTAGATTGAAGTTCAAAATAAAATCTAAATTTTAATTATTATTTGTTTATTTTGTTCTGTGATTTTATTCAAATGGTATATTATAATTTATATTATTGCAGGAAAAAGATTTTATTAGAATTTAGAAAATTTTATTCAAATGATCTCTATACATATATATTTGTTATCCAAAGAGTGACATAAACAGTTTGATATAAATATACAGAGGAAAATAAACTTTTTCTAATATAGGATAATAAAACTAGTGTCTACACTATTCCCTTCTCATCCTTATCACATCAAGTTCTTAATATGCCGAATTTTTAAAGATTTAGATACTCTAAAATTATTGAGGAAATTCATGATAATAGTTACAACTCAACTCATTCACTAAAATACCGGTGATAATAAGCACCTTAATATCTTAATATGAATATTTAACCAAAATTAGTGAAAACATATATACTATATATGCATAATTATTTCATTATTAAAGTTTGTTCGATTGTTTAATAACTAACTTATTTTATTAAATTACAAGTTTGTTTAATAGATATAAAAATGTTAATGTATTTTTAAAATAGATTGTTTTAAGTTTTTTTTTACAATTTACAAACTACTAATTTATAATTTAACTTGTATTTATAGGGTTTTTTTCTATTACCCTTTACATTTTAAGATTCATTTTATTTTTTTAGTTTTTTAGTTTTTTTATCTATTATTCTCTATTTCAATTTTATAGAAATAATTAATTATTACTTTACTTTTAGCATTTGATAAGTTAGTTTTTAATATTTTATGTAATTCAAATAAAAAATATTTTACATTACCGTAACTATTGTTATTCTATGTATGAGAGTATACATGAAAATTATATACAATATGAAAACATGTAAGGAAATTCAATTTAAGAGTAATTTAAATTAAAAAGTCAAGAAATTGAAATTTGTGAAGATAAATGAAAGTTAATTTTGATTAATATTGATTTGATAAACTTATTTAAATAAAATGATTTGTCTAAGAAAATAAATGTACCACTTTTAAAAAATAAATAGAAATAATACAAGTAATTTTTTTAAAGAAATCTAGAATTATAATTTACATAGTAATATATTTTTGTTTAAAAATCATAAACATCATTTATATAATAAAAAATATATACTTGTATGTTTTATATTTAAACATTATTTTATTTGTTTTTTTTAAACACTTATTATGGAATGAATTTGTTTATCAATTACCAACTATTTATAAACTGAAAGAATTTGTAAATAAAAATTCCTTAACAAACTTTTGAGATATTTAAATAACAAATAATCATTAATTCACATCCACGAAGCCTCAAAACTATGGATTCAACCATACTATTTGGACGGTTTTAAGAACAAAAACTTCAATCAAACCAATTAGTTGAAAAAAAAGAGT